GAAATTGTATAAATTTACGATTTTAACCATTTTTATCAGCCGATTTGGACTTAAAATAATGAATTAAAAAAACTTTAATACTACTCATATTGTTGTGTGGCCTATTTCGAACACTTTTTATTTGAAACTTTTTTTGAAAAAATGACGCTGTCGGCCAGAAATACAATTTTTGGGAAAACTGTACAAATTTAAGATTCTAACCATTTTTATCAGCCGATTTGGGCTAACGAGAATAAATGAAAATTTTCCAATCCTACTCATATTGTGGTGTTTCGTATTTCGAACACGTTTTATTTGAAACTTTTTTTGAAAAAATGCCGATGTCGGCCAGAATGGCCATTTTTACTGAAACTGTATAAACTTACGGTTTTAACCGTTTTTATCGACCGATTTGGACTTACGAGAATGAATGAAAAATCTTTAATACTACTCATATTGTGGTGTGACCTATTTGGAACACTTTGTGTTTGAAATAGTTTTTGAAAAAGTGCCGCTTTCGGCTAGAATTGCAGTTTTTTTGAGTAACTGCTTAAATTTACGATTTTGACGATTTTTCTCGGCCGATTTGGGCTCTCAATAATGATTCAAACATTTGCCATTTTATTCATATTGTACCGTGGATGGCCGAGTATCAAAATCTTTCATCAGCTTCCAACTTTAAAAACGAAACAGGAACAAACTAACTTGAAAATTACCGTCAACTTCACAAACAATAACAATAACAGACGGAAAACTCGCTCTTCCGACTCGCGGGGTTTAACCTTTTCTGCACCCGGTCGCTGCTGTCACTTCACTGACTCCACGTGGTTCTCGTCGCCGCTTATATAGTTTTCTCCAGGTAACCCAGACAGTTCTGGAAATCTCCAGACCAGGTGCAAAATTTCCCACTTGTCAGTGTCATATTTGACATTAAATAGGGCGCAAATGGGGCTCCTATTTATTGAAAAACCATGAACTTCGATCCCCCCATTCCAGACGTGAGTACCACATACCGTTTCCATTACAATATTATGGTGTTTGTTATTTGGAATACCTTTTATTTAAAAAATTTTGAAAAAAAAGCCGTTTATTGCCAGAATCGAAAATATTCGCATTCGCATCTTCCACATGGCAAAGTAAACAAAAAAAAAAGTTGGGGTTCAAGCAACGAAAGCTTACCTAGCCCATGACGGTTTGTTGGATTTATTTGCGTTCAGTTGTTCAAAGTGAAAAGTTAACCCTAGCCACTCCAAATCACCCCCCTCCCTTTGGATCGCAAACCATCTCCTCAGGCCCAAGTACGGAGCCCTGCGGCACACCAGCCGTGACACCGCACAGAGTTTATTTATCTAGTTTTATTCCCCTGTTGGTAAGGTGAATCAGTCTAACCCAATCAAACCCAAACTAAAGGGAATTGTGAATGGTACTCATTGTAAATTTTAAAAAACATCGAATCTACTACACTTTTTCTGCAGGGTGTTTAAGCTGGCGCACCTCGATATTTTCAATAGATATACCACTCTCTCATTCCCCAAATTTGTGCA